GTACGACAAATTTTTCAAGCGTGTTGATTGGCTGCGGGACAGTAAAATTCTCGAGTATCTAGAAATTTTCTATTTAGCAGCCAATCAACACGCTTGAAAAAATTTGTCGTACGACAATCGTAATACCAGCCTAAGACTAATATTACTTGTCGTACAACAAATTTTTTAAGCGTGTTGATTGGCTGTAGGACAGTAAAATTCTCGAGTGTCTAGAAATTTTCTATTCAGCGGGCAATCGACACACTTGAAAAATTTGTCGTACGACAAATGTAATGTTAGGCTAATAAGACGATGTAAAGTTAAGCCTATCACAGATAAAAATAGAAAAGCACAGGCAATAGAACGCTCGTAGACTTTTCGTTTAATCGTTCGTTGGTCACACGTATCTTTTCTCTTTTTGTTCTCCTATTTCCTTCATCTCTTTGTTTCCTTCCGTGCGCCTTATTTACGTCGAAACCAAAGACTTTTACAAGTGTCGAAGGTGTCGCGCGAAAATCAGTATTTTCTTTCTCGCCCTTGCGTGCTCCTTTACCAGCGATAATTACCTCGCGTTAAACGCTTTCTAAGCCCACAAGGCTGGATTTATCGCATCCCACATAAATGCGAGGAAAACGTCTCACGAATAACAATCGTGACAAGTTCATGTCGCGAGCATCGCGCCAAGATACGGCACTATTTTTCGCTGATAAAGTGATGCGTCCGCGTGTCCCGTGGCAGAGAGACTCTTATCGATGTCTATAATAGATTACGCCCACGTAAATAAATTCTTACGCGAGAAAATTGCCGGGCATAATTGAACGGCGGTAAAAAAAATTCGACAGTTGCGCGACAGAGAAAAACTTATCGGAAACTATTTTACGTTATCGGCAAGTTTCGACGTTATCGCCGCATAATCACGTGCTACCGTATCAGCTTTTTCAGTCGCACGATCGTCATTAACGAGAAATGTCCACGGCAGGCGCGTTTGCGATAGTCCCTGCGTTTTACAACTTTTCCTCTACCGACACATATTTTTATTTACAGTTTCATTTTATTTTACTTACAGCGAATTCGGCTGCTTGCACTAAGTGCGCACTGACAATGCAGTCAACTTTTGTATTAAAGAATCGTCTGAAATATTTCATGAAATATTTCGCAGCCAGTAAAAAGTTCTGTATGGCATCTATACGGATTACTTTTAGCCAAATACTCTGTGAACATGTATTTGGGCAAAGTTAAGTGTAAAAATTGACCACAAACAGGCCGTAGTGCGCGCTAGTGCAAGCGACCGAGTTCGCTATTAGCTATTTTTACACTTTAATTTTCCTACATATTACAGCTCGACTGTAGAAACTCATGTATGTTTATTGCCGTCCATAATAATGCGGGAAAAAGTTAAATGAAATCTCTCTGCACCAATAAATTGCGCGAGGAGGAAATTCAGCAAATCGCACCGATTCTGCCTTCGCTCTTAACCCTTTCGCGCGTACCAGAACAAATAAATAAATCCCACTTATATCGTTTGCCTCTCTGGTGCCTTGGGATGCCCAGTAAAAAAAAAACAATATTAAACAAAAAGTAATTCGGCCGTGAAAGGGTTGCGCAATCGGCTCGCCTACGTTATGCCATTTCCTTTTGTTTTCCATTGCACGCGTGTCATGGCCTCAACCTTTTTTCCGTCGGACGAAATTTGCGTGCTTCTCCTATTCGTCCGCATGCGCCTTGCTGTCACGCTCTCGCAGACCGCCCCGGCTGGTCTCTCTTTCTCTCTCTCTCTCTCTCTCTCTAGCACGAGCCGCGACCGCCTCGCATATAAAGCTTTCGGGACCTGTTGCCGTCAGTACATTCGCTTCGCGCGAGCCGTAACGTAGACAGTGGGTTTTCGCGCGAGCCGCTCCGACTCCGCGACTCTTCTCGACGCACGCCGCGGTACTCACCCCGGGTGAGTAACAAGTTACAGTCGCGATCGGGGAAGGGCCAGGCCTCCATCTTGGGACTACACGGGCGCGAGAGCGGCGGGAAAGACGGCGGGGACCAGGCAGATGCATCGCACGTGGAGGAGGACCCTCGTGGGCTTCTACGAGATCGGACGCACGATCGGCCGCCTGGCCAGTCTCTGAGAGTAAATCTCTCGGGGATCCTCCGACATCCTCGAAAACCGCAGCTCCGCGGCTCGCGGACCACCACCCACCGGCCGAGCAGGGTGGAGAGTTCCAAAGGGCGAGGCGATGAGCCGCGTACCACGTGGTGATACGACACTGTGATCAGCGAACTGTGATATACATATATATACACCTGTACCACATTACACACTATACCCGTACCGCACACACCTCATCGGGGAAGAGGCAGAGCAACGACTACGCGCGCCATGGCGGAGTAAGTGAACGCATCCTCGAGCTTGTCGAAATCCTCTTTTTCAGCGTCTCATCTCGCGCTCGGCAGAGAAATCCCGGGGCGGATCGCGCGGCTAAAAGAGGCGGGCGTTTATTTCGACACACCGGCGTGCTCGTTGCGTTCCAGACCGAGAGCACGTGGCGTTCTCCGAGTTGGGGAACCGGAAGCCCCGAGATATTCGGGGCGAGAATTTTTTTTTTGCGACAGATATCCCACCGCGAATTCACTCGTCGCGTGCATTGTTACAATCGTTGCATTGTGCCTCTCGTTGTGACACAATCGTTAGATTAGCAGTTTGCCGATTTCCCGAAAGAGACGTACAACACACCTTTACGTTACTCAGCACGTTTCGCGCGCGCTACGCTCGAAACGGGATCGCGAATGATCCGTGATTCTGAGCAGAGGTGAGAAAACACGCGGGGCAAAGTCGACGGTAGTCGCAAACGTATACGCGCGCGATCAACAAGTGATTCTATCTCGAAAGCTCTTGTTTACGACGATCGAATCTCGAAGTGGTCGATCGCGCCTATGAAAGTCACAATCCCCCAGCCTTTGCCCCGGAGATCGTCGCAGCTTCTCGGGAGATTGCGCGACCGATCGATCTCCAAGTGCACTAATTAAGCATTCCTCGAGAAGCGCGGTTTTCGGCACTCGAAAGCGCGTCGTATTGTTATCGTCGCCCGGCAGATAAAGGCAGATAAAACGCAGATTTCTAGCTCCATATCGAATTCGCCTCGCGCCGATCGAGATTGCAGAAGAGCGAGCCGACGAGGAAGACTTTACGAAATAAGATTTAATGCCCTCGGCCGAATCCCGCGGCTGGACTCTCTTAAGAAGGCGCCTCCAGACGTCTCTTCGGCGCAGACGTCTAATTTTAAACCGCTAATCTATTTAATATGAGGATCGGGATTTCGCCTTCTGCACCTCGAAGTGGAACGCGGCACGCGCGGACTATAATCGAATATAAAAGGGATGTGTCATCTTGTCGCCGTCCTCGCGTCACGTCGTCACGGGCGCGTTTCGCGACGTGTGCGTGCGCCGCGAAGCAATTATTATATATTTAGCGCTGCGATTCTATCGGCGGACGCGAAATGACAAATGTGCCCCTTTGGCAAATTTGTCAGTCGACGCGCAGTAGGTCGGCGCGATAATATTGTTGCTAGCCGATAACACCGGTATGACGTTAAGCTGATGCAATTAATCTATTAATATTGCATCGGTTGACACCGGCGATGCATGACCAACTGTCGATCCGCACGCGTTTACGGCCGTCGTCGGTCAGACTACGTCATTCACACAATGTTAATTGAGTTTTAACGATACGGATCCGCCCACTCTTGATTAATCCACGGCTGAGACCGCGCGTTATCGCGAACCGAAGACTGTTTTTTTACCGTAAAAGAGTACAAGGCTCGATACGTTTGTTTGTTTAATAGCGATTTACTTAACTCTGTCCCAGAATTAGTCGAGATTGTTAACGCGCACTTATTCATAATTCTCGACTTCATTGACGACCGCGCGTCCTCACTTTTCCTCCGCTTTCGCAAGGCGGGAATCGGGCAATTATAATAAATCGATGCTTCGCGCCGGAGACGCGCGGAGACGCGGTATTTTTACACTCGGGAGGAAGACGGGGTCGTAAAAGTTCCCGCGTCGAGTGTTTTTTTGCGCGTGATGATCGATCCGCGACCTTGCGGGGAAAGGATTTATTAGTCGGCGGCCAGGATCGAGGTAATATCGAGGTAAATGAAGCGGAAAAACGTATATGCGCGGACAATGACGGTGACAATGCTGTTGTCCAGTTTCCCAACTTGGCAATGATAATGCGGATCTCTTCCGCGAGAACACGACGCATACTCCCCCCACCCCCTCTGCGAGTTTGGCGAGCGTAAATCAGTAATGATATGATATTAGGTGATAATACAATGAGAGCCGCGTCGCCGTCACACGCAGATGCGTGACTCGCTCTGTGTCGTACAAGCACGGAGAAACGTTATCGGTGCGGTGGTTTATTAATAGCGAATTCGGCAGCTTGCACTTGCGCGCACTGAGTGCGCACCAAGGGCTTGTTTAGGGTATTGATTGTGTAACTTTCCACGCGAACTCAATGATCTCGACCCATGAAATTATTATGTTCGCGTGAAACTTTTCGTTTTTCATGTTTCCACTCTGGGGGAAAAGTTGCATGATCGCTACCCAGAATCTACTCTTGTAGCGAATTCGGTTGCCTGCACACCGGGGCCCGTGTACAGTCAATTTTTACATTTAACTTTGTCTTAAATGCATGTCTTAAATACTATTATATTTACAATCATCGCAAGTGCATGTCCAAAAACTATTTAGCCCAAAAAATGATCCGTACGAATGCTATACAGTTCATTTTACCGGCTGAGAAGTATTTAAGACGATCCTTAAATATAAGAATTGACTGTGAACAAGCCTTAGTGCGCGCTCACACTAGTGCAAGCTGCCGAATTCGCCGCAAGTCTCGAAAGTGCACCAAGTTTCAAGAGAAGTGACCGGGGTCGCTAGCGAGATCACAGTTTTCGCCTTGCTAATTTCCTGAGCGTCGAACGATCCTCTCGTCGCTCTTTTTTTTTCTTTTCGCCGTGATTCAGAATTATCTCCGGACGATGACGTAACTCCGCTTCGCGATGCGCGAGGCGCGAGGCGACATTGAACTTCGGCGACACGAATCAACGGAGATCAAAGGGGGCGATTCCGCGTGATTTTAAAGCACTGCCGCGACTCGCGAAAACCGCTCGCACTCGCGGAGACCCGCCGCGTGTTATTCGTGCGATCGTACATAAGGTATGATTATACAGGGTGTTTTATAATATCCGCCTCACCTCTCATTTTTTAATAGAGCGAACTGGACTGAGTCGAAAAATCCTCTATCATTTTACAATTTTCGCAAGATTCAACAAGCTATTAATTATTAAAAATCGCTGTCTTAGCCCGGTCTGCCAATTCAAACGCACGGCGAGAGCGGCCGTCCCGCGATTGGCGTTGCTAGGCGCGCGGAGAGTTGTTTATTACATAGACATAGTAATACTAGACCGAGCATGTTCTCTTTTAAGCAATGAAGGTTAAGGTAGAAAAGGATAGAAAGTAGGTGCCGTCAACCTTCCTCTTTTTAGTCTTGGAGAGAGAGAGAGAAAGGTGGACGGCACCTATTTTCCATTCTTTTCTACCTGAGCCTCAGGTCTGGTGTCTCGGTCTAGTATTACTATGTCTATGGTTTATTATACGTAGCCGGTGCAGTGTGTCTTAATTGTCATAAACAACTCCCCGCGCGCCTAGCAACGCCGATCGCGGGATGGCCGCATCTCGCCGTGCGTTTGAATTGGACCGGGCTAAGACAGCGCTTTTTAATAATTAATAACTCGTTAACTTTTGCGAAAATTGCAAAATGACAGAGGACTTTTCGACTCGGTCCAGTCCGCTCTATCCGTAAATAAGAGGTGAGGCGGTTATTCCATAACACCCTGTATATGCGTTAGCACATCTTTCTCTCCTAGTCTCGCTCTCCCTTCGACTCCCTTGGAACGATTGGTGCCCCGGAGGCTCGTGAGGCCGATTGATGCGCTTCGCAACGCAAACACGTCGTATTTCGCAACGCGTTACAATGTTGCTGCCGCTTTCCGCGACGATTTACAGTCGCTGTCTCCGCGCTCGTATTTACCTCCGTTGAAAACGACGTGATGTAATTAGACTATTAATATCGGGGACACGTTCGTTCCTTCGTTCGGTCGAATGCAACGCTCGCCGAGAGATGCAGTTCGCGCGTTTGCACATGCGCGCGCGCGCGTTACACTTGAACTTTCGTGCTGCGGATCGGCGCGGGCGCGAAAATAATCGCGCGGGCGATTCCGCCGCGCGTCGTGCCAGAACACGCGGGTCCGCTTGGCACCGCCCGCGCTGGTGAATCGTTAAGCCGGGTTAAGCGTCTGGGAATCCTTGGGGCCAGCTGATCGAACGCGTCGCTTATACCGCGCCGCGTTCGACCTTTTGTCTTTATCCAAAGCCTTGAGGCTCGCACCGTGATCTTTCGTAAACGTTTAAATGACATCTTGTGCCAATACTTTATCGGGCTGAATTAATATTTGCGCGTAGTCCCGCTTGAAAGAACGCTTTAAATTTCTCTCTCTCTCTCTCTCTTTCTCGAGCCCCACGCATTCGCGAACGGCCGATATCTGCCGCAGCAAGATAGAGCAATCGCGTGGAAACGGCTCGTTTCCTCGATTATTCTCCGCTGAAGCCGAAAACATCGCCAGGCCGCGCGGCTCGGTTCTCGCGCAGCATCTGTTCCAAATGTTCAACGTGTATAACGTCATGTACTCCTTTCATGCTCGTCAGATGATCTCTTTGTTCCTTTCCACGTGTCCGATATCCGCTTCCAATTAAATTCCGTTAATACTTGACACGTTGTTCCGTCGATAAACAACCCGGGTTTCTGAAAATGCCACTTAAGTGTCCTATTGTCTCGCGCGCGCTGCGAGTATTGTCGGGGAGATACTGTGCGATACGAACATCTTTGTGTGGAAAAATACGAGCGCGAAGGGGCGGAGTGTACAGAAATTAATAAAAATTATTATTACGAGGGAGGGCGAGACAACGTGTCGCCCGATGGCCGAACGCGTCAATATTTATTCTGGAATTTGTTAGTCACCGGAGTGACCGAAGTACATCAGCGTGAGTCGTTTTCTGGCGGATATACGGGTGAAGGCTATCTACGGTCGCTTTGTTCGCGTCCGCGGGATAAGTGACGTTGAGGATCCCGCGGAAAATTCCGTCGACGAGATGAGGGGGTGGCAGGCGCGCGCGAGACCAGCGTCCGATGGAAAATCTTGCGAAATCCCTGTTGCGCGTTCTAATTCGGTTGCGCGAACGAAGGGGAGACCATTCAAGTGCCGTCGCCGCACGGCCTTCGTGCGCAAAGTCAAGGTACGCACAAAGAGAGATACAGCTCCGACAACACG